CTCCAGGCCCCTTGATATTACTCTTGCTTCTATGTTGAATTTTTATTCAAACAAAAAATAGAAGATTTACTGTTATGCAGACTACTGCAATACTGTAATAATTGTACAAATAATGTAACCCATTCATGACTGCATATTAGAATGGCTAGTTGGACATTTATTGGACAATGACATCATTTGTTTACTTTTCAACATCGGCAAAATCAAACATTTTCCCTACTTTGAGCTCCATTTCCAGGTTCTTTTCATAGTAAAACCAATCAAAATCACCTCTATTTCTATAATATGTTTTCCATTCTATCAAATGAGACCAAGAAAATGAGAATACGACCATAAATACTATATGAAAATAGACCACAAAGTCAGCATTTTAATTAAAAAAGACGGTTGGAGTTTTTTTTTTTCTCATGTACTGCGTGCTCCAGGATTTTTTTTATATGGTGCACACTGACCACACAGACCCATTCTCTCACATGTGGGCCTATCAGCTTTCTCTTGCTCGATTTGAAGCTGCTAGAATTTATGAGTATATACACATCAAACGCGGTGGCTTTTAAGACGTATATATACGACCGAAACAGTCAAAGGGTTAAGTGTAAGATTCCCCGTGCTTTGAAAGGTATAGATAAAACCACCTCACCAGTTATTTGGAAGTCAAACCAGTCAGCATGGATGACAGGGGAATTATTTATTGACTATTTTAAGCATCGCTATTTTAGAAGTCATGTTTTATCTGTGCAGCGAGAACCTTGCATTCAAGATTCTTTCCATCGCTGATAACTCCCATTCTTACCCAGAAATCTTGGAGGATGTGCATTAACATAAAAAAATTATTTTTTTACCACCAAACACAACATTTTTAATACATTTACTGGATCAGGGAGTTAAGACATTGAAGTGATGCAGAAACTTGTTGGAATAATGGATACTGCCTCCGACCTCAGAGTGCTAGATATCTGGAGTAAATTTAACATTGTAGATGCCATCAACTAAACCAAAAGTGCATGTAATGAAGTTCCCAAATCAACATTAAATGCAGGTTGAGGAAAATTATGGCCCATTGTGGTGAATATGTTCACAAGCTTTTCCTCAGTTGAGAACCAGGTCCAGGAAATTGTTCAGCAGACAGGGAAATTACCAGGTGAGTGCTTTGAAGATAAGCAGATGTGAATGAGCTCTTAGAAAATGATGAGGAAGAACAACATCCAGAGGAAATATTGGCTGTGCTCACTGCCCAGATACAAGGGAAGCAGATGATAGACAAAGGTGAAGAAGAAGAACCTGAGGAAAATTAGTTAACACTGCAACAGTTATGTGAGCAGTTCCATATTATTGGTAGAGTTCACAGACTTTTTTCACTGAAGTAGACCCCTGACAAATCTAGAAGCACTTTTCTGAAACTGGGTCTAGAGCAGCTGATGATGTCTTAGTCAGCTGTATGAAGTACTGCAGGGTAAAACAAACCAGAATTCCTCACTGCTCCAGTACAACCATATACATCAGTTCAGAACCTCAGTGTTGATGTTGATGTTGATGTGGCCCAATATGACCATACCATTCCTATGCACTCCTTTCAAAATCAAAATATATTGGCAACCAGAATTTAGGGTAAAGAGTATTATTTATGTAACATTTGTAGCTGTAAGTATTTTATTAAATAAAATACATTACTGCAGCTATTATCATTGTTTTTTAAAATTTTGAGACTTAAAAAGAAAATCTTGTTGGGCTTTTTGGAGGGATTTAACTTTTGATATACCTTTGAAGAGTTTCGAGAGTTTATCTACTCTCTGAGCCCAGCCATGGGCCAGGGTCGTCTGGTGCTTGCCTGGTCAACCAGGCTGTTGCTGCTGGAGGCCCACTGCCCCACATATCCATCACAGCCTGGTTGATCTGGCACCTGGTGAAGATACTTGTCCAGTTTCCTCCTGAAGGCTTCTACACTGGTTCCAGCCATGTTTCTGATATCTTCTGGTAAGATGTTGAATAGTCTGGGACCCTGGATGTTGATACAGTGTTCCCTTATTGTCCCCACTGCACCTCACTGGGTTTATTTTACACTTCTTCCCATATCTCTCACTCCAGTATGTTATTATGGCAGTGTGCAGATTTGGGACAAGGCCCTCGAGTATTTTCCAGGTATATATTATCGTGTATCTCTCTCTTCTCCACTCCAGTGAATGCATCTTCAAGACTTGCAGGCATTTCCAATAGTTTAGGTGCTCTACAGGCTCAGTGTGAGCCATAAACGATCTCTGTATTTGTTCCAGCTCAGATATTTCTCCTGTCTTGAACAGGGCTGTCAGCACTGAGCGATATTCTAAGTGAGGGAGCACTAGCAATTTGAAGAGTGTCACCATTGGCATTATTTCCCTTGTTTTGAAAGTCCTCAATACCCACCCCATCATCTTCCTGGCTGTTGTGATCTTTGTCTTGTTATGGTCTTTAACCCTTTGAGGGTTTCAGCCGTACTAGTACGGCTTACGACCCAGGGTTTTTGATGTACTAGTACGCCTAAATTCCAGTGTCTTCAAATCTAATGAGAGAAAACTGGTAGGCCTACATATGAAAGAATGGGTCTATGTGGTCAGTGTGTGCAGTATAAAAAAAATCCTGCAGCACACAGTTCGTAATGAGGAAAAAAAAACTTTGACCGTGTTTTTGGAATAAAACAGCGACTTTGCACTGTATTTTCGTATGGTATTTATTGTTGTATTCTAGTTTTCTTGGTCTCATTTTATAGAATGGAAGACATATTACAGAAATTGAGGTGATTTTGACTGGTTTTACAATGAAAAGTACCTTGAAATTGAGCGCAAAGTAGCAGAAATGTTCGATTTTTATCAAAGTTCAAAAGTAAACAAATCATGCCAAGCGTCCAATACACGTCAACTGGTGAGTCTAATATTCTTTCACAAGTGCGCTGATATTATTTATACCATTTCTACACTAATGCAGTAGTCTGCATAACAGTAAATCTTCTATTTTTTGTAAGAATAAAAATTCAAAGTGGAAAGCCAAAGAAATATAAGAGAGGCCTGGGGAAGTGACTAACAAACAGAGAACTTGTTATTTTAGTGCCAGGAATGTCTTTTTTGTTTATTCTGGACCCTATTCGGAAATTGGCATCTTTAGAAATTTGTGTGAAATTGGCAAAATTGCTAAATTCTGACCACTTTATTGGATGGTTGAAATTGGTAAATGGGTGGTTTCTTGTACTCATTCGATAGACAAAATGGAGTTCTAGCGAAATTGTTATGATTTTTGTCGACTAGTACAATGAAATTGGTCGAAAATAGGGCTCAAAGTGGGCAAAATCGCCAATACGTAAACATCGTCAAGACTGCTAACTTCGCGAGAGCATAATTTCATAAGTTTTCCATCAAATTTCATACTTTTGGTGTCATTATGATTGGGAAAAGATTCTCTATCTTTTCATAAGAAAAAATAATTTTTTTTTTTTTTTTTAAATTTGGCCGACCCTGAGAACAAGTTTCAGAGAGGGCCTGTCGACCCTCAAAGGGTTAAAAGAAAGGTCCGCTGACGTGATTATTCTTAGTCTTTTACGTGTTCTTTACGTTCTACTTGGTGACCCTTTTGAGTTTTGTATATAGTGCTCCTTTCGAGTTCTTCATTTACTGCTCTGTTCACTGTCAAACCTCCAAAATTAAAAATGCTCGGTGTCCACATTTAAAAAAATGGTACAAAATATTTTTTCTGAAGGTAATGACACAAAAAAAATTACAGAAATTATTAATAACGAAGAAAATTTGTGGAACCATAGGCACAAAGTTCAAACCAAAATCAGGGCATCATCTTAACGCGTTAGGACATTTTTGCTGAACTTCTAAGCCTACTATTTTAATAATAGCCAATTGTTTCAATTTATCTATTCTTTTGCTACTTTAAGCTATTAGTATTCTTGTTATTAGCTTTATTTCCTATAACAAACACAAAATTTTAAAAAATCTAGTATAAAAATGGGGGCCAAAATAAACACTGTATTCATTCTAGGCACTAAAACAGCATTTCCTTTGTTCATTAATCATATTCCCAAGCATCTCCTATCTAATGCTTTCCTTCTATTTTGAATTCATCAGACAAAAAATTGAAGATTTACTCAATGTCTCGGATAATAAAATATAACCAGGAATAATTAGTCAAAGTTTACAGCATTTCAGAATCAGATCTAGTAAAAACCCATAAAGTAGATTGGGGGAGAGTAGGGGGGGGGGGCCTTACCGGTCCTCAGAAAAATCGGCAAAAATTTAATATTTTCACTAATTTGCAGTCATTTTCTAGTTACTTCTAGTCCTTGAACCAACCACATCATGTCTATTTCAGTATTATGTCTTCCATTCCATTAAAACCACCCAAAAAAAAAAACTCAAAATCACTATTTTAAATCAAACACAATGTTACTGTTATGCAATACTGTAATAATTGTATAAATAATATCACCACATTTGTGAACATATATTAGACCCACCAGCTGGCTTGTATTAGATGTGTGAGGTCATTTGTTTACTCTTGAACAGCAGCAAAAATTTAAAATTTCTGCTATTTTGAGCTCAATTTCAACCCATTTCCAGTACTAAAACCAATCAAAATCATCTCTGTTTCTATAATATATCTTCCATTCTATCAATTGAGACCAAGAAATCACAAATACAGCTATAAAAAACATGAAAAAACACTGCGAAGTCGCTGTTTTAATCGAAAATTATGGTCTCAGTTTTTTTCCTCTCATTATGCACTGTGTGCTGCAGGATTTGTTTTATGTGGTGCACACATACCACATAGAAGTATTCTCTCATATCTAGGCCCAAATTTACCGCTCACAACTTATCAGAGTGAGCTGAGCTCATGGCGTAAATCTACGGTTTGGACCCTCGACGTAAAGCCATAGATTTGCGGCACGGACCCTCAAAGGGTTAATTTAGGATATTATGTAAGTCATAATTATGCCTTAAAATGTACATATCTCTAATAAATTTTAGGCCTGAGTTGGTGAACGGAGTGTCAATAGTACGTGAGCTACATGTGTATGGTTCAGTAGTTCCAGTGAGTTCTCGTGACCCAACCAAGTTTCAGCATCAAGGCTTTGGCATGTTGTTAATGGAAGAAGCTGAGAGGATTGCTAAGGAAGAACATGGATCTCACAAGATTTCTGTAATCTCAGGTAGGATTATAATGAATATTTTTTTCTTTTTCACTTCAATGTTCATTTGAGTACAGTACTATATTTATATGTTCTCTTCTGAGTTTGGGGCATTGGCACTTTAACCCTTTCAGGGTCGACAGGCCCTGTCAGAGACTTGTTCTCAGGGTCAGCCAAATTTAAAAAAAAAAAATTATTTTTTCTTATGAAAAATTTTTTTTTTTCTAAACATTATAGGCTAAACAAAAATTTTTTACCATCAATACTTACCGAGATATGGAGGCATGAAGTTGACAGAAAATGCGCATCATGTGGTAACATCGCTGACTGCCGTCACCCGGTATTCTTTTATTTAGTATTTTATGTACTATTTTCTATTATTTTTTAATTTTTCTTTTTCCAAGTAACTTTTATGGCCTGTGAGACCAATATGATCAGTATTTTGTAAGTTATTTCTTTTTCAATACTACACAATAATGGCATAAACACTGTTGTCATTGTTTACAGAAAATATTTACACAAACAAATGATATGAAATGTTGTTTATTACCATTTTCCTATATTTTATATACACATATACAGTCACAGGGAATGTTTCTAGAAGTTCTGCAGCCTGTGGAAGTCTTTGAAACATGGTGTCATGCACAGTGGTGTTTTACATTCCTCACACATAAAACGAGTGTCTCTGCGTTGTTGTGGGCGTTTTTTTGTATGTGCACAGACGTAACACCTCTTCTGAGCCTTTTTCTTGAAAGCAGTAGCAGGCAGTTTTACCAGGAAGTGATCACCATGCTTCAGACGAGAAGGAAGTTGTTGAAAATTTGATGGGCTGTCTATTGCAGGTGTTGTTCCTTGGTACTTGAATACTATTTGTCTGATGACAGACAATCAGAATTCGCCATATGGTGGTTTGTTTCTGGTCCTCATCTTATACATATTATAAGCATTCAGCATGGAATGTCCAGAAGATGGAAAAAGAGTTTTATGTACCACTTATAACTCTTGCGAACACAATCAGCAAACCCAATCTGCATGTCACATTTGTCCACTGAATGCATATTGAGGGTGCAGTCCATCACAGCTGCAGGTTTTAGAATGGGTTCATTGCTTTATGCTGCCTGCCAGTGTCTGCCATTTCATTAGGGTGAACTGATGACAACAGTGTGACATCTCGTTTGTCATGCCACCAAAATGCCATGATGTCATTGGCAGCAAATGCCTGCACCTCACCTCTACGAGTGCCAGCGTCAAACCTGGGCATATGTTTCCGATTTGCACGCACTGTGCCACACACATCTGTCATGTTCACTCGCAAAAAATCACTGAGTGTGGGGCTTGTGTACCAGTTATCTGTATATAATATATGCCCCTTACCAAGGTATGGTTCTATCATTGTTCTAACCACATCACCAGAGATGCCCAATAACTTCCTGGTATTTTGCAATGTATAACTTCCAGTGTACACAATAATATCCAATACCAGACTACTGTAACAATCACAAAGCACAAACAACTTTGTACCAAACCGTTTCCTCTTGCTTGGTATGTACTGCTTGAAATAGAGAGTTCCTTTGAACAGAATCAAAGACTCGTCAATTACAAGCTTCCTGAAGGGATAAAAATACATATTGAATTTCTCTTTCAGATACACAAACACATCTTTCTTTCTTTCAACACACTGGCTGTATCCCACTGAGGCGGGGTGGCCCAAAAGGAAAAATGAAAGTTTCTCCTTTTACATTTAGTAATATATACAGGAGAAGGGGTTACTAGCCCCTTGCTCCCGGCATTTTAGTCGCCTCTTACAACACGCATGGCTTATGGAGGAAGAATTCTGGTCCACTTCCCCGTGGAGATAAGAGGAAATAAACATGAAGAAGAACTAGAAAGAAAATAGAAGAAAACCCGAAGGGGTGTGTATATATATGCTTGTACATGTATGTGTAGTGTGACCTAAGTGTAAGTAGAAGTAGCAAGACGTACCTGAAATCTTGCATGTGTATGAGACAGAAAAAAAAAGACACCAGCAATCCTACCATCGTGTAAAACAATTACAGGCTTCAGTTTTACACTCACCTGGCAGGACGGTAGTACCTCCCTGGGCGGTTGCTGTCTACCAACCTACTACCTATAACACAAACACATGCCTAATCTTATATAACCTGTCGTTTCTGTCAGGCCTGGTTTTATCTGAGAAGTGAAGCATACGTAACAGTAGCACAAATCTATTCACTGGCATTATATCACTGAAACCTGGGGTTGCAATCAGGCGGTCTGTTGACCAGTATGATTTCACACTGTGCTTATACACATGTGGCATAAGCATTATTTTGGCAAAGAAAAGATACATCTCAGCCACAGTTGTCTCCTTCCACTGGTGTAGACGTGATTTTGGTGAAAGTATTGTGTTTGCCATGGTGTACTCGTAGTATGTGTTGCTTTCCATGACAATACTTTCCATCAGGGGTTCATCAAAGAATAACTGGAAACATTCCAGTTCAGTGGCATTGTTTCCCAGTGTACAACATGGCCGTATTCCACTTTGGCTGTCATCAAACTGGTGGGGATTTGGAACAAAATTGACAGCTTCCTGCCAATCCCAGGTGTGGTCTGCTGGTGAGTACTGGACAATGACAGGTGGTTGTGGAGGCTGGTGTGGTGGGTGGGTGGGGGATGGTGGCCTTTGTTGTAGATCAGTTGAGGCAGCGGCGTGGGTGGCAGCGTTGGTGGCAGCGTGGGTGGCAGCGTGGGTGGCAGCGTGGGTGGCAGCATGGGCCACTGCTGGTGCCTCACAGCTGGCACCACCACTACCACCACCATGCACATTTTTCATCCCAATTGCAACAGTATCATTGTCATTTTCACTATCAGTTCCTGTTGTACAGCCACGGGATGTACTCTGAGATGTACTCCTTCCCCTTGGAATAGCATATGGCACACTACCAGAGCGCATATATCGTCATATATACTGACGCTTCACTGGGGAATATTGCACTTCACTATCACTACTGGAACTAGTTTGAAGAGCTTGTAGTTCATAATCACAGTCACTATCATCACAAATGCTCACATCTGAGTTTGGGATTTGGGAAAATAGGAGTTTCCTCTTTGATGCTGGTACAACTGAGCGTGAACAAGACGGCCCAGCAGCAGAGGTGGAAGGCTGAGGGTCGTCTGGGTTTTCCTCACTATTACCGATATTATGGTCATTAGTTTCGGTCAAAACCTCACCAAAACCTTGAAACTCATCTTCACTGGTACTTCCATCTGTATTAGAACTGTCACTGGGGAACAAAAGTGTCCCAGTTCACCGAGGAGTGAGGAGCTTCTTACCGCGAGGCATGGTGGACAAGGCGTACCAACATGGCGTTCCCACAATGCGCCACTGGGACCCAGATTTTTTTTCTACTGCACACACCCACCACACAGACCCATTCTCTCACATCTAGGCCTACCAGCCTTTTCCTGTGAGATTTGAAGGCGCTAGAATTTATGCGTACTAGTACGTCAAAAACCCTGGCGCGTAAGCCATACTAGTACCTTTGACTGTCCTGTATTGTCTAGTATCAAAAGAACATTTGAAATTATAATCTGCCCATTGTCGGATTATTATGTATCTGTGAAGGGGGAGCTTTTAGCCCTGGTTTACTGTAAACTAAGGAAAGGTTCATGCAGCTGTTTGCATGTATAAGAACCCTCTGCTCAGTTTTATTTAAACCATTCCTGGTTTTGGTTTCTGTGCAATAAGTTTGAGAACATCTCTGGATCAGCTTCAAACTTTCAACATTGTTGTATCCTTCTTAGAAGAAAATTGGACTTGTTAATGGAATGTGTAGGAGACAATTTGGCAGTTTTATTATTCATATGGCATAGTATTATTGTCTGTAAAATGTCTTAAGCCTAATCAGAACAGCTTCAATTGGTACTGGCTGATGCATCTTTTAAGAAGGATGATTTTCTATAAGTTTAGGTTATGTAGGTGCAAATTTGCTAATACATGTATACCAACAGTTAAAAAATAAATTTGTTGGATTCCATGCAGCTTCAAACTGTAAGCAATAGTGCCTTGCTTAGAGGAAGATTTCATATTTTGTAGACTTTGTAGCCTCTGATTTGCTAATTTTATTAATAAAATTTTGAGGTATTATATATACTCTTCTGGACCATTAAGAAACAAGGATATAAAGCTGAAAAATTTAATAAATCTTTAAAACATTTCAAACTACAGTACATAAAGTTGTACACAATTCTGTTTAGCCATTTAGGAGATATAAATTTTAATCTTAAACCTGCAACAAATGTTAAATAATCTACAGTTAACTGCTAGTTAAGATGGTAGTTATGATTTTGAAAATGATGTCTAATCAAAAATTGTCTAAAATGAACTGAAGAAGATACAGTGGACCCCCGCATACCGATTTTAATCCGTGCAAGAGGGCTCATTGGTATGCGAAATAATCGGTATGCGAATGAATTTTCCCCATAAGAAATAATGGAAATCAAATTAATCCGTGCAAGACACCCAAAAGTATGAAAAAAAAAATTTTTACCACATGAAATGTTAATTTTAATACACACAAACTGAAAAAGGCATGCACAATTACATGACACTTTCTTTTATTGAAGATCTGGTGATGATTGATGGGATGGGAGGAGGGGAGAGAGAGTGTTAGTGTTTAGAAGGGGAATCCCCTTCCATTAAGACTTGAGGTGTCGAGTCCTTTTCTGGGGTTACTTCCCTTCTTCTTTTAATGCCACTAGGACCAGCTTCAGAGTCACTGGACTTCTTTCGCACAACATATCTGTCCATAGTGGCCTGTACCTCTCGTTCCTTTATGACTTCCCTAAAGTGTTTCACAACATTGTCAGTGTACAGGTTGCCAACACGGCTTGCAATAGCTGTGTGAGGGTGATTCTCATCCATAAAGGTTTGCACTTTCAGCCACATTGCACAGATTTCCTTAATCTTTGTAGTAGGCAACTTCTTCAATTTCTCTCTCCCCTCCTCTGAACCAGTTTCC